ACCTTAATATTTTATTTAAATTTGTTACTTTCTAATTTTTGTTGAACCCTTCATTGCTCTGATGTAATAATATTAATAGGAGATACACTTTTTTTCTTGCATACTTATTGAAACCTTTATATATTTACGTTCTAGTAAGAACTGTACCATATTACTCCAGCTTTTCTCTCTGTGCAGGCCGGGAGTTGAAAGCCCGTGTCGTTGCTTGCCAGTCACTTGTCGCCTGTCACCCGTCAGTCTTGAGTCTCCATGTCGTCGGTCGCTGGAAGTCGTGTGGCAAATGACCAATTTCAATTAGAGATGCAGAGCCGAAACATCGGGGCTTACAACAAAACAAGAGCACACCACACGCACAGTTTAAGTATCCTTAAGGCTGCTACACAGAGAACCCAAATGATCCAACTAATTGAAATTCTTTTTCAGCTTTTAAAGCTTGACTAATAAATAGGTTTTCCCATCAATGGGCATTTAAACATTTTTAAACTGTACAGACGTATTATTCCTTTTTGTATTAAATTCCCATGAAAATATCTGCTGGCCTTAAACAATTTCAACAGCTTTAAACGAATGTGATTGCCTGCTTTCAATTTGCTATTTATGGTACACAATGGGGAGTAAATGGAATTTTTGCAGTGCAGCCACACACTCAACAACCTGCTGGCTGTTTAAATATGAGCAACAGATTAAAACTTAATTTAAAGTTGACCCAGCCGGGTTTCGTGTTTCCACTTCAAGTTTAATTAATATGTTAAGCCCGTAAAAGCCGCATCGGTAAACTAACCCATCAGCCGGCTTTCGTGTCCTGTGTTTGTTTGTTTTTCTTTTTCCCTGCCCCTTCGAAAAGGATTCCCTCCTCCAGAAGCTTGAGCAAACAAAAGGTTTTGGGTGGCACATAGCACATACCATATAGCGAATAAAATCCACCCGAGCCACAGAAGATGAAGCATCTTCAACGACGGCTTACATGTGTAGCCGAAACTCAGTATGAATACCAATTGTATGGCGGTACTTTCGGCCATTGTACTTACATTTCATCTGCGTGTGCAGTGTTAATCCGCAAAAATCGGTAGAACTGCGGCTGCCATATCCAGATATATATAGCTATAGCTGTGGTTTTATCCATTGTTCTAATGCGTGCTTAAAGCGCATTTCCAGCATTTCAAACTCGTCTGCACGCATGAGTGCCTACAGCTGCGGTCACATAAATATGTGATTATAGTCAAACGGTCGGCTTCTTCCCATCGATTCCCAGGGTACATTCCAGCTCAATAGTTCTAATTAGATGAATAACTAATATGTTGATTAACCAATATGTTATTATTCCCCTGACATTATCAGACATTGTATGAAATATACCGAAAATATTCATGCTTTATTTTGCTTCAGTAGGGTGATTTAAATATATGGTGTTATTGTTTAGTAGTTAAACATTTACTTTTAGAACCAATTCATTTTGTAAGTTTATAAAACTTAAGTATGTGAAATACTTTTATAAATTATCTACAACTATAAAGGTAATGGTTTCACTAAAAATCTAAAAACAAAAACCGGAATTCTGGTATTATATACATATCTCTATTAGTGTGAAATCTGCTGTGGCCTTAGCATGTGAATGCAGCACCAAAAACAAGAACAAAGCACAAAGCGCCACTCGACAAATGCGCTGTAATTTGAGGCGACAAGTATGCAGTGAAAATTTTAAATGCATTTCACGCACTGCGGCTGACGCACCACCACCTCTCCACATCCCCCAAATGATCCCCACTAATATTCCCCACTAACCCCGGTAAATCCCAGAATGGTCCTCCAATCCTGTCACGCCCGCAAGTGTCGCAAAGTGATGGCTGTCGCCGACAGGCAGTGTCCACTGTGGCACACGGAGAAAAATAGATCAATACCTGCTGGATATTTACATTTTGCTTATCTTTCTTTTATGTAAATAAACTTTAATCAAGATAGACCATAAAGTATGGCAAAGTCTAAAAAGTAAACGGTAAAATTTTACATCTTTTGGAATATGCAAATATTGAAAATGAATTCTTTAATGAAAAGCACTTACAAAAAAAACCAAAGAACAATTTGAATTCAGACATATTTTTCGATATTTAAACCATTTAATTGGTCACAGTTTCATTGAATTTTTTCTCCCAGTGCAGATGGCGTTGACGAGATTGGAGTTAGGCTGCAGTGTCCATTGTTTCACCCTTTAATGGCCTCGCTTATCGGCAAAATGGAGCAGCAATTAGAGCCGAGTGATTTATCTGATTTGAAACGGGGGAAACCCAGAACAGGACGACACGCCACTTTTTGATTAGTAAAATGAACTCGGATAACTTTTCGCCAGACTCACGATAGCTCTATAACTTTCTTTCCTTTCTATTAAAGCACGCCATAGAAATTTAAATAATTAATGTAGGTAGCATAAAACTTTTCTTAGAGTTGTTGAGAAGAAAATAAATGTTACAGATCCAACTAGAAATAAATCTTTTTGCACAGTCCTTGTCTAATTTCTCATTAGTTTCATTTGTAAATAATTAAATAAATTATTTTTTAGTACAAAGAAAACGTATCTTAAAGAATCTCCACTTTTGTAGTATTTCGTACAAGGCAACGAAAAGCTATGGGCAAAATATATAGTTGTTTAAATTAGAATAATTCTGAATTCAGAAAAGTATGCAAAACTTTTTCTCAGAATTTAAGACTTATTTGCATACCAGCCAGTCGCACCACAAAAAGTCAACATTTTCAAGTTCTTCACACCATGTGCACGAGTATAAGAATATTAAAATCGCATTTTGCTTGAGGTGTTCGCTTTATAAAGCCATTAGGAACTATCCGGGGGTCGAGGGCGGGGTCTGGGTTTTCTGAAAAGTCCGCATGTGTCGGCCGGCATTTTAACACTTTAATCATTGAAATGCAAATTCAGAGCCGAGTTTTAGCAAGACATGCGTCAGGCAGAGTAGCACATGTATGTTAACACGGCCACCGACTGGCACGCCCCCGAAATCTGGAGAGGACAGCTCAGGATTCTGGCCGGGATTTAGCATATTTGAGGGCCAGGCTACACGGGCAGAATATTTAATATTATAGGATGGTCAATTTGATCACTTTACGCATCATTTTGATTAGATACGTTGGAAAAATCACTACAGATTTAAAATCTCGCATAAAAGTGCCTAAAAGTGTGCATCAATAAATATTAAATCTGGATGAGAGACCTGGGTATTTTTTATTGCATACTTTTATACACCTTTAAAAGTAAACTCAAAACTATTGTGATTTTTTTGGCAAATATCATGATTTTTTTTCTGTGCAGGGTAGCACATTTCGAATTCAGCCTACTCCACAGATGAGTTCCTTTTTGGCTCCGAAAATAATGGAAATGCAGGACCCGGCGAGCGAATAAATTAACCTGGATCGCATTTATATTCGGAAGTAGTGGCACCGCGATGCTCAAACCTGAATTACGCGCGGAACGCTTCCTTTATTGCACGTAAATAAAGTCATAAAGTCATCATTACAACCGCGCCAACAAGGAGCACAATAAAGGAGCACAAAGGACGAACTTTTGTGGCCGCGATATAAAATCGCAAATGTGCACAAATTACTCAAAACATATTAAAAACTGCGTCCCCGCCTCAACAATTTGGACAAAACGTTGCACAAATTAAAAACCCTTCGAAAGAGCGGAGATAAAAGGAAATTCCATTGTGACAAGTTTTCCCGATGTGGGAAAAGCGCAGTACAACTTTTCCTGAAAACTGGGAAGTGGAGTTCTATTGAGTGCCGCAAGACGATGGCAACAAGTTTCTCTTGCCGATAGGACATGTGAAAAGTTTGGTAACTTAGTTGGTGAAATAATCTTTGAATTCGGCACTAGAAATAAAAAAATACAAACAAGGAAGAACGCTATAGTCGAGTACCTCGACTATCAGATACCCGTTACTCAAAGGGAAATGGAGATATGCAAGCAGCAAAGCGAGATTAAAATGCGCCACCTACCGGCGGTAGACAGATTTAAGCGTTATGGGCGTTAAATTTTTGGATCATTATTATTTTTGGATCAATCGATAGGTATTGACGACACCAATACATTTCAGTTAAAATTTTTTATCTAGTATGCAAATTGTGGGCGTCACAGGTTTTCGCGGTTTGTGGGCGTTTAAGTGGGCGTGGCAAACTTTTTTTTAGGTCAATCGATAGGTATTGATGAGAACAATACATTTCAGTTAAAATTTTCTATTTTCTTCTAGCATAAAAACTGTAGGAGTTACAGTTTCGGGCGGTTTGTGGGCGTTAAAGTGGGCGTGGCAATCTACTGAAACAAACTTGCGCTGCGTAAGAAGTTCAGGAATCTTTATGCCAAATCTCAATAGCCTAGCCCTCATAGTTTCCGAGATCTCAGCGTTCATCCGGACAGACGGACAGACGGACAGACGGACATGGCTAGATCGACTCGGCTAGTGATCCTGATCAAGAATATATATACTTTATGGGGTCGGAAACGCTTCCTTCTGCCTGTTACATACTTTCCGACGAATCTAGTATACCCTTTTACTCTACGAGTAACGGGTATAACTAGGGATATTTTGAAGGTACACGAATAGTATAATGACTTATATTAATATTAATTAAGAAACCGTTTTAAAAATATAAGTTACTCATCCGGCATGTTGGTTTTATGGGTATTAACTGTGTGTTTTTCCAGATATTCCGCTCAAAGTTGATTAGACAATAACAAATTTTGTATAATTTAACCATTATAATTTGCATCTTTAGGTATGGCAAGTAAGATTTTTATAGATATTGGCAATTAAACAATTCAGACTTAAAAGTTGATACCCTTATTAATTAACATTATCCAATTCAGTACTTAGATTAAGTTCTTCTAACTATGAAAGTTTGAAATATATATTTAGGGTAGCCTTTTTCCCGCCAAATTAGCTATTTTAGAGCCCTTTCTCCATATCTACAAACATATGTATGTAGGGGTTGGTATTCTCAAGATAGTTCTAAATGGTCACATATGTTTGTTGATAAAAATTTTTAAACAAATTAGTTTAGATCAATTTCTTGGGATAATACAAAAGTATGAATTTCGTGGGTGAGGATACCGAATCCGCCTTCAGACGGCACCAAGCGATTGTTCCCCAGGTGAAGCAGGCCTACGAAGAAGTCATAGGACAGATCTTTGCGGATTTGAGGTAGGCAAAGAAGTTGGTACAGAAATGGACTGAAGATCAACTAGTGTTTAGCCCCTCAGATCTAGACTCCTGTGCCGCCATTCTCGAGGAGCACGAGTCCTCAACCCTGGACACCGAACAAATGGTGAACACCGCCCAAAAGGTCATGACGAAGATCGTCAACGATGTAAACCAATGCTTCTTCGCCGGAAACGATGTGGATACCAAGCTGACCACTTTGGAAATGCTCAAGGAGCATTTCGCATCCCACAAGGGCAAGGAGTGGTGGGTAGACAGAGTATAGGTAGAATAGGTAGAACATATTAATGTTTTCTTTTATACTCCCAGGAATTTCAACAGTGTGTCCCCCGAAGAACTCACTCGCCCGCTGCGCATGAACAGTTTGGATTTGAGTATTCGTTTCATGGAGCGACAGCTAAAGACTCAGGAAAAGGAACTTGAGGTATTACTACCTAGTTTATAGAACATTAAGATACTTGAAAAATACAAAAAAAATTTTCATGATCAAAGTATCAAAACAGTAACATATGATAGTTATGAAATATCAAACAGAAATATCAATATTTAAATGCAGTATATATTTTGTATTCCAGATTGCTATGACCAAAAGCATTGAAAATCGACAGCGTATTCAAGATGTCCAGGCTGAGCGAGTGAAAGTGGGGCACTTAATAAAGGAGAGGATGGCTCAGTACCAGGAAATAAAGCCACAATTAACCGAGATAGAACGGTCCATAAATAACTTGCATATGCCACCGAAAGTTTAATTTCATTTTATAAATAAAGATTATTTTCGATTATTTAAAATGAATGTTACGACACGAATGCTTTGTTGGGTGTATTATAAGATATAATTAACATTATCTATAAATAACAAACTAACATTTACTAAGGATGTTAGGATATGACAAAGAGACAAGCAATCATGAAATATTTTTAAATTTACCGCCACATGTGCAACATTGCGCGGAAAGTGTTTTCCAACACTTGCGGCTTTCAAACAGCTGACTCGCCGGCAAATAAAAACATTGAGTAATATATTCCGACACGAGCCATGCTGAACCTATCCGTGGTGCTCCGGGTGCAATCCTTCCGACAGACGGCTTCCTTTGCCACCGCGGTGGCGGTGAAGACGCAAACGAAACCACCAAAGGCGAAGCCCACGAAGAACAAGTCAAAAAACACGCGTGAACAGCCCCTAATCTCCTGCAGAAGAAGTCAGTTCAATTTAACCCAATATGAACGAACGGATGCCAAGTTCGGGAGTCTATCACTGGCCTCCAAGGGCTGGCTGCACAACAAATCCAAGGGTGACTTCTTCATCCTGAATGCCAGCGTACAAGGCGAGGAACTCCAGCAGGAAATGCAGGCCATCGATGAGTTCCTTGCCGCCACAGGACTCCAGCTTCATCCGCAACTCCTGGAGAACCTGCAGGGCGAACTAGGCATCAAACTGGTGACGGGAATCCAGAAGCAGGGAATACCCATTGTCCACGGGAAGGAGCACTGCCTGATTGCCGCTGAGACTGGGTGCGGCAAGACCCTCACTTATCTACTGCCCATCCTAAACAAACTGCTCCAAAGGGAATCACTTCCCGAACGAAAACTCAACACTCCCCGAGTCTTGATTCTCACTCCAGGAAGAGAACTGGCCACCCAGATAGCTGGAGTCACGGAGAAGCTCATCCAAGGCACCAATCTGAAGGTGCAATCTCTACTTGGAGGCAACACCAAGCAGCTGATGATGAATCCGCAGTTCGAGGAGGTGGACATACTGGTGGCCACCTTGGGAGCGCTCAGCAAACTGGTGACCACAGGCATCTACCGCATGGAGCAGGTTCGCCACCTGGTTCTAGACGAAGCGGACACCCTGCTGGATGACACATTCACGGATAAGCTGACGTACTTCCTCAGGAGATTTCCCGTGAGTCTTCCCTAAGGTTTATAAGAAGGTTTTGTAATGGCCCTTCTCATCTTCCACAGTTCCATCTGTTGCAAAAGGAGGATGCTGGCACCCAGCTAATCCTGGCTTCGGCCACCATGCCCACCAATACCAGGGAGATCCTGCACAAAGTCATCGATGTGGACACCATCCGAGAGGTCGTGAGTCCACACCTGCACCGCTTGATGCCCCATGTGACACAAAAGTTCCTGCGCATGTCGAAGGCCGATCGTCCCGCCACAATCCTGTCACTCGTCAAGCAGGATATCGCCAAACGCCGGCCACTAATTGTGTTTAGCAACAAGTCCACCACCAGCGACTATGTCTCCATCTTCCTGAACAACAGCGGGGTGAACTGCTTAAACCTGAACGGGGATATGCTGATGAAGATCCGGCTGGGCCGCTTCGAGCAGTTCCAGAATGGCCACTGCGACGTGCTCTCCACCACAGACGTGGGAAGTCGTGGGCTGGACACCACCCGGGCACGACATGTAGTCAACTTTGACTTCCCACTCCACGTTTCTGACTACATCCACCGGTGTGGCAGGATCGGGCGAGTGGGCAACATGGACAAGGCACTGGTCACCAATATGATATCCTCGCGCCGCGAAATCGACGTCGTCCAGCGGATTGAGCACGCAGCTCGAACGGGTGGACTGCTGCCGGATGTAAATGCCAACATCCGGAACATTATCAACAAGCGAATTGTGGCCGAGATGAAGAAGGCTGGAGTACCAGTTCCGGTTTTGGGATCAGGAAATGGTCATCAAGGTCAAGAAGAAGCGTTTTAGTCTTTTATTCTTTTTGTATTAAGAGTAAAGTTTTGTTTTCTAAAGTAAATGTAACAACTTAATGATTTCTGGAGCAAATGGGTTTAGGAAATCTAAAGTAAAAGAATAGTATTATTGAGATCCCCAGGTATGCTCCTGGACCCCCTAGAACTTCTAGTAATACTTCTCTCAGCCTCGTTCAGATTCTCAGGTAGTGATAGCCACTGATGGGCGGAAACCTTTTCACGTTGGTCAGGGGCTTGAAGAGCTTACGTTTGGCAATGAGGATGTCTGAGCTGGCTCCACCAGCGGCACCACCGTTCGCTGTCGACGAGGGAGAGTCCACTGAATGGGGAACACTGGAAACCTTTGGCTTGAGCAGCATTGGCCGGCAACCGGCAAACTTGAAGCGGATGTTGCCCGCACAGTTGAGCTGGAGATTGGGTGACTGGAGGTCGGGGAAAACCTCGCGGAGAGTGGGCTTCGGTTTGAGTGCCTTGCTAGGATCGTCGCCGTGACACATGGCTGCCGCTATAGTGCTCCACTCCAGCCGACGCACTCCTGGCACTGATTCTATTCTGTAAGCGGGCGGCTTAACCTGCACATACCGCCTGGTTACCATCTTCTCGAAGGCTCCTTTAATTATTTCAGGTTACTAAAGAGATCTTATTGGATCATCTAGGTTATTCTTACTTGCATAGTGCACCATGAAGGGCTGCAGAGCCCCACCGCATCCGTGCTCCAGCCATTCATAAAGATAAAGGTCATCACGTCCGCCCAGGAAGATGGCAGCCGGCGCCAGGTCCTGCCACAGGCTTTCCGGGATTTCCTCGACGCGTAGTTTGTAGATGTAGGGAATAAACTCCCGGAAGGCATACTCCCCCAGGGCGATTAACCCTCGCACTGCCCTGCTGATGTATTTAAAGTCTACATAGAAGAATCGAAAAATTAAAAAAAAAATAAAATCTAGTCAGTATTGTTTACCCCTCTCACTGCAAACATCGCGACCCTCGAAGAATCTCGCCAGACGTCTTTTGATCAGGAAGAGGCACTCTGCCTGCAGGTAACCACTCTGGGATGCCAACTGTCCGATGGTTTCACACAACTCATCTACCAGGGCATTGCCTACTGGAGTGGCAAAGTAGGTGGACAGATGTTCGGTCTCCTGCTGGGGATTCCGCTCCTCCTCCTCCGTTTGCAGCTTGTAGATGGTGTGTTCCATGGTGTTTTCACTCGGAAACATCTGCGGATCCTGTTCCTGCTTATCTACTTCCATGACTTCCGGATTATCTGGAATGGGACCCTGCTCCGGTTCCATCTTGAGTTGCTCCTCGAACTCCATTTTGATGCTGGTCGTTTGACCTGGATCTGGGTCCTCGGGTGGAGCCTTGATGGTCTCGTAGGGTGCCATGAGCTGACTGACGAGCACCTCCGCCAGGTTAAAATACTCCGGCCGGCAGGCATTGTGATTGGCAGTGGGGTTGAAGTTGCAGGCACGAAGCAATCGCCAGCACCGCTGGCTCAATTGATCCTGCTGCTTGAAGGCCAGCAGCTGGACCATCTTGCTCACAATAACCCGGTAGATGGAACCCATCAGGGGCGTCTGGAAGGCGTGACAGGTGGCAGCCGACTGGGATTTGCTGTCTGCAAAGAGAGCAGCCGTCACCAGGCTCTGAACGCACTGCCTCAGCTGATCCGTGTGCTTATCCTCCACGGGGCAGATGCTCTGAAAGTCCGCATCGTCGGGAGAGCAGAGATTGATTTCCTTCTGAAACTCGGCGCTCAGCTCAAAGATCTTGTCTGAGTGGAAGTAAAAGCTGCCATCGTAGTCGATGCGGTCCCAGTCGCTGTCCATGGCTCCCAGCATGGGCGGCACATCAGCATCCTTGAGCACCTCGTTCACCAGATCGTAGGTCACCACTCCACCGGAGTGGCGGGAGTAGATTTTCACGTTCTAGGGGGAAATAGAGAGATTAGAGAGGTAAAGGAGGATGCATTGTGACTGGCATACATTGATCAGCTCCCAGACTTTGTAGGAGGCATCTTCCGCCAGCTGAGCGCACACGTCCTGGGACAGTTCCACATCTGTCTGGTCATGCTGCTCCCAAAAGATCTTAATGCTGCGCGGATCGAAGCCGGCATAGCTCTTCTGATGGCCCTGCCGTATAGGGGAATATTAACAAAGCAAGATTAGACTTTAGGGTAAGCCCATACCATTCGACTGGAATTTCCGGAGGCTTCTGCTCCCGCGATTCCGCCTACATTTCCATGGCCCCCGCCTCCTGCCACCGCAAATGAGGCATCAAACATGTTATAGTTGCCCATACTGGAAGTCGGCGTCGTAGGCGTTGTAACCATGTTCAGGTGAGTGGGCGTGGCCGGTAAGCTGCCCAGTGCCACGCCCCCGCCCACAGTGGAGGCGGAAGAACCAGATGCGGATGTCGACAGGGAGTTCTTCCCAGTCAGCTCCAGTTTCGCTGTCTTGGATCGCGACTTGGTGGACTTCTTGCTGACCTTGCTGTGCGATGACTTGTTCAGCTCGTCGGGATTGCCGGCGCCAGAGGTTTTCATGGTTTCGCCTCAATATTATGCATAAATGTAAACAAATCTAGTAAACCAAAACAATTTTTGCAATAGAGCTATCGATTGTGGCGATTAATAGCCAGCCCAGTTTTTAAATTTGGCTACTTTCAAGCCAAAAACCGATAGCAACGAGGACTGATAAGAGCAACAGCACAGTTCAAAACTATTTATTTATCCCGACTTTATTTAATGTTATTAGTTCACTAAAAAATATGGCTGAAGCCGCCAATGTGCGCCAGAACCTGCAGAATGTACCGTCAATCTTCGAGATCTCGGCAGCGGAGACGCTGGACAACCTTATTTACCCTGCGCTGAGCAAGATCTTCGACTACTTTGGATTGCGGCTGGACTTTAAACTCTGGGGGAACTTGAGGATCAAGGAGGAGCTATCGCCGCTGCTGACCTGGCTGCTACAGTACTTGTACCTGCGGAAGAGGGCCTCCTCCTTCGGGGAGAGCTTCTACGGACTGCAGAGGACGGCCACGGAAACGGGGGATCTGCTGAACCGACGGCAGCAGTTCGCATCCGCCACACTGTTGACCTTCGTTCCTTACGTGGAGAGGAAGCTGAGGAGCAGGATCGCCAGGCACGAGGACTCGAATCCCTGGGAGCAGCGACTGCTCAGCACCTTTCACGCCTTCCATGCCGCCAAGGCGGTGCACACATTCCTCTACCTGGTCAAGTACGCCTCCAACCACTCGCCCATCTTCCGAGCCTTGGGCCTGACCCTGCGCTATCCCAGCGAGCCTCCCAAGGAGGATCAGTGGACCTATCTGGTGCTCAAAATGCTCGAGGTGCTGGCCTTCTTCCTGCAGTTCGTGCAATGGTGGTATTCCAATGACCAGCGGCGCAAAGTGGGCGGCACCCTGGTCAATCCGGAGGCGATGCCCGAGAAGGAGCTGCCCAAGGAAATCCAAAAGACCCTTCCCAAACGGGGAGAGTGCCCCGTTTGCCTGCTGCCCATCCAGACGCCCACCGCCTGCTCCGTTTCCGGCTACGTCTTCTGCTGGAAGTGCATCGTCAGCCACATGAAGGAGCACGGTAGCTGCCCAGTCACCCAGTATCCCATCAGCCTGGACGACCTGGTGCGCATCTACGAGACGTAGTATTATCTTTTGTTATCTTGTATATGGTTTTGTTCTGTTTAATACATTTTATAAGGAATCAAGAAGTGTTTAGATCTCGCTGAGAAAGAAGCCCAATCGCTGATCGTAGCATATGTAGACGTGGTAAAAGTCAAAGTAGGCCAGGCACAGATAAATGCAGAAGCACTCGCAGGAGATGAACTCGCCCATGCCGAATATGGAGTAGGCTGTAGGTGATTCATGGACTAAAGATATGAACCACTGCGTTCATTGGTCAACTCACCCAAGGGAAGGCAAAACTTCTGGTGCACGTAGTAAAAGAACCACATGATCACCACGGACACGTAGTAGGTGAGGACCAAACCACTCTTCAAACTGTAGGCGAGCTCCTCCTGCAGCTGCCTATTCCTGTCGCGCATATAATACTTGGCGCACACAAAGGATCCTCCCATGTAGATGGCACACGACACAAACAGGGACAAAGCAATGGATATGTGCAGCAATGAGTCGCCATCCGCCTCAGCAAAGGTGCCCCACAGCAGCATGCTGGTGCTATTAACCGCCAAAAAGATGGCCATCAGGCAACCGAAGCTCCGTACCGGCTTGGGCAGAGTCCTCCGGTTGAAGCGGAACTGCAGCCAGGCACTTGCTATGAGGAAGGGGAACTCCAGCCAGCAGACCAAAGCCCAAATTGTGTGCTGCGACTTGGCAGCCGCCGACGTGGTGGGGAAAAAGTTGAAGGCATGGCAGGATGTATAAGTAGTCGACTTGAAGTCCGTGCTAATGGCCATCACCAGGTTGTAAGCCATGCAAAGGGGCACCTGCAAAAGGCCCAGGGCCAGGAAGGGACCTACCCCTATGCGGAAATGGCGCCTCTCTTGAAAATCCTTCAAGGAGCTGGGCAACAGCTTGGTTTGATCCTCGACGAAGTTCTTCATTTCAGGATAAGCAAACTAACGGAAATGTCAGCGATTTTTATAGAAGGTAAAACACCGAAGCTCAGAAAATGACACTTTAAACTAACAATCGAAATCTGTAAACTCTAAAAATGTAGTTTTCATGACTCCAAGCTCTCGGAATAAGTTAATTATTGCATAAATATTTATGACATTTGACATTTAAATGAAACGTCAAAATATTTTATTAATTTAAAAAATTGCGGAGTTATTTTATTATTAAAAACTTCAAAGTCGGCATTAATCGAAATTCAAATAAATACAATTTTATGCTTACAAAATACTAGAACCATAGAGCCAATTGCAAATCGAGTGTGTATAAATATAACCTTATTAAAGTCTTGTTCTTAATTAGAGCGTGTGTATAAATAATGCGTTACATAATCATGGAACTCGGTTCGAAGTTACCTAAATCCTTCAGACACTTTATATCCTACGTAAAATCGTGTTAAAGCCCTAACTAAAAGCGTGTGTATGCATCAGATCCGGTCATACTGAATCGTTTCCTGTCGGAATCCCTCGGAAGCAGTTTCCTTCTGGTAAAATTAAGTAAACTTTGAGCTTAAGCTAATACCGCGTATGTACAGAGTACTCGGGTAGGACTGGCTGGATGATATGGCGGCGCAGGCGGGGATAGATCTTGAATTTGTCTAGATTTGTGATAGGTAAAGGCCGTGCTTGGCATCGCAGACCACGTTGAGGGCGTAAAAGTCCCAGTAGGAGGTCATGTGGAAGCCCATGTTGGTTAGCACCACGATGTACTCGAACAACGCGAAGAAGGTGTACACTGCAGGAATAAAAGTTGATTAATATCTGTATAATAGGATTATTCAGTTTACCGATTAATGAAAATAAAAAAGAAAACTTTTTCTATCAAGGAACATCTAGTTAGAACTCAATCTTTATAAAGTCGGATCCCAGAATCCATCCACTCACCTCCCGCCTCGCAATGTGAGTTGTGCCTCACGAAGCAGTACCCTGCCAGTCCAAAGGCCACCACATTCACCAGGAAGAGGTTCCTCTTGTAGCGCAGTGACTTCTCCTCGTGCGGCAAGAGCACGGTTTTCCGGATATTCCTGTTTAGCAGATAGGACATCAGCATATAGCACTCCGAGCAGGCGATAAACACCACAAAGGCGTTCCTGTGAGTCTCATAGTGATCCGCAGAGGTCCAGAAAGATAGGCAGAAAAGGGCCAGATCCTCCACGACATTCAGGAAGCAGGCCAGGATGCCCAGCAACCTTCTGCTCCGGCGGATGTGTTCCCGGTAGTGCTCCAAGTAGATTTTGGCCACCGCCAAACGGAGTGGTAAATGCAGGAAGATGGCCAGCCTCCAAACGGTTTTCTGGGGCTCATAGTTCCCTATGGCCGCCGAGACGGAGGGCAGATAGTTGGTCACATCGCAGTGGGTGTAGGTGCTCCTGACGAAATCAAAGGTCAGCGACCAAATCACACAGAAGAAGAATCCTCCCAGGGGCAAGCTGAGAGCCACCAGTGCCAATCTTGCGAAGGGAAGTCGGAAAAAGACGCTTTTGGGATCGCTAAAACGCTCGTAAGTGGGCAGCATTTGACCTTTGGAGTGGGTGGACGTTGTGGGTGGTAGGTTGGGTGGTTCCTTTAACTACGCTCGCTCCTCATTTTCCGGTTCCTCGCTCCCAAATTAACTAATCTTAGTTTTTTACGCGGATTGCTTACGTTTTAAACATTGCGAAAAGAAGTTGTAAACAAGTGATCGATACCAGCTGACTATCGACCGCTGGCGGGGGTGGATGTTGATTATCGAATTTACCTAAATTTACTTCTTATATTAATTTAGCGGAAAGTATAGCTCAAATATAACTGATTATCTGGCAATTGGCTAGTCCAAATGCAGATAACCCATTTTATCATCAACACTAACTAGGCGTATACTTAATTTCATTGTCACAATGTAACCGTCAACAGTGCTGGTCAAAAGGGATTGATTTAGTAGCTGAATAGCTAACATTTTTGGAAATGACTGTATTTTAAGTAAATTTTAAACTAAGATAATGTTAAGTTTTAAAAGAACTTGCTTTATATATTTTAGTTTTATAAGCAAATAAAATATTTTAGCACTAAATATTTTATGGGTACATTGGTTGCTGGTGTAAAGTTCCTTAATAGCATCTACAATTAACATTTTTTAGTCGATGATTTTGCAGTTTTTAATTTAACTTGTTTTAAATTTTCAAAAAAATAGCTTTACCTAATTGGCTATAAAACAGCCAGATGGCTGCCCGTGCCACTGCCACCCGGCAACCTATCGATATCGATAACGCCGGCTGCGCACTAGAACAACAAAACACGCGCAAAAAAAGAGAAACTGCATTGTTTACTAGAATTTAAAGCAAATCCGAGAATCCCAGAATCCGGCAGAGATGGACATCCTCCTGGCCAACGTGAGCGGGCTGCAGTTCAAAGCGGAGCGGGACCTGATCGAGCAGGTGGGCGCGATCCCGCTGCCCTTCTACGGCATGGACAAGTCCATCGCGGCGGTCTGCAACTTCATCACCCGGAACGGCCAGGAGTGCGACAAGGGGAGCGCCTGTCCCTTCCGGCACATCCGCGGCGACAGGACGATCGTGTGCAAGCACTGGCTGCGCGGACTCTGCAAAAAGGGCGACCAGTGCGAGTTCCTGCACGAGTACGATATGACCAAGATGCCCGAGTGCTACTTCTACTCGCGCTTCAACGCCTGCCACAACAAGGAGTGCCCCTTCCTGCACATCGACCCGCAGAGCAAGGTCAAGGACTGCCCGTGGTACAAGAGGGGCTTCTGCCGCCACGGACCGCACTGCAGGCACCAGCATCTCCGGCGAGTGCTGTGCATGGACTACCTGGCCGGCTTCTGTCCCGAGGGACCGTCCTGCAAGCACATGCATCCGCACTTCGAGCTGCCCCCGCTGGCGGAACTGGGCAAGGATCAGCTGCACAAGAAGCTGCCCACGTGCCACTACTGCGGCGAGCTGGGACACAAGGCCAACTCGTGCAAGCAGTACGTGGGCAGTCTGGAGCACCGCAACAACATCAACGCAATGGACCACTCGGGCGGACACTCCGGTGGACACTCAGGCGGTCACTCGGGCGGGCATTCGGGCTACCCCGGCCACTCCGAGGGCAACGACATCGACAACCCACCGAGTCACCACAGTCAGCCGCACGGACCCGGTTTCGTCAAGGTGCCCACGCCGCTGGAGGAGATCACCTGCTACAAGTGCGGGCACAAGGGACACTACGCCAACAAGTGTCCCAAGGGCCATCTCGCCTTCCTTTCCAACCAGCATAGTCATAAGTAGGATGCTCTGCTCTGTATGATTAGATATGATTAAGAGTGCAGAAATAAAGGTCAAAATGTGGTTCACATGGCCCACTGAATGGCCCGGAGATCGCAAGATCCCAACTGCCGCAGGTGAACGTTTTGATTATTTTCAGATTAGAGAGTATGCTAGGAAAGCCGGCTCGCATTTTCCGAAAATGTCTTATAAACTGCCAGTAGAACGTATTTTGTTATCAGCGAAATAAACTTCCATAAGAATCTAAACAAGTATTTGGCAGTTTTGTTTTAAATAACGTTTGGAATATTTTTGGAAAGCAGTTCGTCTCAGAAGAATGTATTAATATGCTCACCAAGAGAATTAAGTGGTATTTTCAGCCGGGATATAAAATTATGCATCTGTAATACGTATCATTATTAAGGATTTAAGTGAATCTTCAGTAAATACAAATAATATATATATCATCCGATAAATTCAGAATGTCATTTTAACTTAGTTTATTAAATATTTTGTAACGAATATTGTAGAAGTAATGGTCAATACAAAAACAATATTCGTAACAAAATAATGAGAGCCTGATAAAAAAAATTTTTTAGTAATCTAAACAATTACAATTTATTATATGTGTTTATAATCAGTTTATTAAAAGCTTATAATAGATTAAAAAAGTAATTTAATTGTGTTTAAAAACTGATCGTATTGCCAGCGAAATATAAAAGTGAAAATGGGAATCATTTTTCCATAAAAAATATCGTAAATAACCTAGAGTATAACTTTCATCAGGGGTCTTTAGATAAATAACACGTATACATACTCACATCCTTAACTTCAGTTAACCAGTTCCATTTTTGAATTCAATTTTAGGCGGGCACAACGGTCTATCCGAGTTCCCCACCATTCCAACTTCGTTACATCTCTCCGAAAAGAGAGCAGCCGTGCGTTGTGTGCAAAAAGTTCGATTTCACAGACAATCGGAAATCGTAATCGTTATCTAAAAACGATTGTCTGGATTTCAGTTCCGTCAAACAATTGCGCACTAAATTTTCCGTAAAAACAAACAAAGTCGACCGTGCGGAGGCATCGAAAAAGCAGAATAAACAGCCAAGAGCAGCCATGACAATTCTGGGAAAGTTGCGGGGGGAGATCACGGACCAGGAGAAGGTTCCGCTGCCGATGAACCTGAACGACGAGGCGCTGATGCACCATGGCTCCCTAATCGCAGTGAGTTTGCACTTGCATCCCAGAGATGTGGCCTTATTTTGCACAATCGTTGCGGGGTGTCCTTGCGGGTGTCCATGATGTCCACCCCTCCACGTCCATGTCCGTCGTCCTTCGGGCCCGAGAGCCACAAGTTTCGTGATGCGAGTGGGCGGTGCTGGGCGGCAGGTGACTCCGATTCGGAATCCGAAATCCGAAATACAGCCTCAGCAGCTCGGCCTGCAGGCCATCGATTTTTCGCGCTGGAATTCCCGCACTCCCTGGCGTCCTTGTGCCTTGTGCCCCGCCCGCGTCCCTAATCCCCGCCTGCGAGTGACGTGTGCCCATTCACTTTCCTGGGCTCTCCCCGTCAAGGACTAGCTCGCTGCTTGAGGTCAGCGGTGGGGCTGGTCTTCCTGTTGCTGGTGGAGATTGGCCCTGACAGCTGGGGAAACCCAATTCCAGCTGCCTCTGCTCTTTGGCCCCGCA